CGATTCCTCAGCACCACATAAGCAAAAAGAAAAAAGCCGGAAGTGGCGCTGTGGCTCAAGTGGTAGAGCGCTAGCCTTGAGCTGAAGAGCTGAGGGGCAGTGCCCAGGCCCAGAGTTCAAGCCCCATGACTGGACCAAAAAAAAAAAAAGCAGCTTTTAGCATTGCATTAAAACCCACTCAGGCTTGGTAGTCACATGATTGAGACAACAACAAAAACCTTGTCTAGCACCACAGCCTCTGGAGCTTACGGGTTTCATGCAGGGTGTGGGAACCAGGAGAGAACTAAGCAGGCTGGGTGAACTAAGAGGGCGCTCATGAAATTAGTTAATTAGTCACACCACAGATTGAAATCAAGGAGTCAGGAAGCTGTCCAAGGATAGCTCATCAGTACTCTACAAAGAGGCCACTTTGGCTTCTCAATACATTTCCTATGGCATTCTATGATTTTGTTGTATGAATTAACATGTTCTCCCAGAAGTCAAAATGTGTTATGTAAGATTAGTAATTTCAAAAATACTTGAAGGGATATATATGTATGTACATATATATGTGTGTACATATATACACTTATATAAGTTATTAGAAAAGCATTTCCAAAGCCTGCCTATTTGCCTACTTTCCTTCCTTCCTTCTTTCCTTTCTTCCTTTCTTTCTTTCCTTCTTCTTTCCCTCTCTCCTCTTTTTTTTGGTGCTGCCACTGGGTCTGAAATTCAGAGTGTATAGTTCTCCATTTTCTTGTTCATGACTGATACTCTACCATTTCAGCCATGCCTCTAGTCTGGATTTTTGCTGGTTAATAGGAGATACAGTGTCCTGAACTTTAGTGCTCAAGCTGGTGTCAAACGACAATCCTTCGGGTCTTAGCCTCCTGAGCAGCTAGGATTAAAAGGGAGAGCCACTAGTGCCTGCCTAAAGTTCTTACATACTCTTAATGTTTAACAGTTTATACATGGATAAAATCATGAAATAACTCAAAATTCAGAAAATTTTGTTTTTCATGGGATATACAGTACACTTAAATTGTAAAATTTAAAACTATAAATAACTTTAAGTGACATTTTCACCCATCTCAACACCTTTTCATTAAAAAGGGCAATTTTAGTAAATACCTATTTTTATAAGAAAATATATTTCCTGACTGCCCTACACTAACAAACTTTGCCCAAACTATCACATATATGCTCACATAGAAGACTAAGATTTTCCTTCAAGTCCTAACCTGAGCTATCGTCTACTTAAATTTTGAATTAGAAATAAAACATTTGGTTATCTTATGATGTTTCAAAAAGTTCATAAGTTAGGTTGGCTATGAAATTATTATTACTATTATAACTACTTAAGACAGTATCCCCTCCTCTAACTGCTTAGGGGAGTGTCAAAACTCTGGGCTCAAGCAATCCTCTGGGCTCAGCTTCCTGAGTAACTGGGATCATAAGATGTGTGCTATGTGCCTGGCTAAACATAATACTTTGAATCTTCTCATGGGCAAATGGGAAACTATTTTAGACTGAAGTGTTTATAATATATGTGGCTTACATTTTCTCTTTAAAAGAAACTAAGTTATTTGTGAGTAAGAGTTCTTGAACTGTTTCTAAGCGTGTTCCATTCCTTTCCTCCCTTCCTTTCTTTTCTGTAGACTGGTTCAAAACAATCACTGTACTAGTTTCTTCCAGCAAAGAGTTCTTCCAAAAATAATTTTCATAGAGTAAATTTTAAGAAACAGCTTAACACATGTGCAGCTGTTACTTGCAAATTATGTTAATTACTTGAAACAGTTACTTTCAACTGTCACATGTAAATGTTAAAAATAGTTTCAGTTAAGTTCTAAGTTATGCAAATTATTCTATAAAAATTAGATTGCATTTCTGGAGAAATGCCATCTGGCAGGAATTGATAAGAGAAAAAGCTTCAAGAACTAAAATGAACAATTACTTTGAAATGTTCCTTTTTTATTTACTAGGATCAATAAAAAAGATAAGAGAAGTGGATTAATAATGAAATCCACAAGTATAATGCCCATGGGTACACAAATAACTAAAGAAAACTCAAAATATTTGAGCCATAGTATTAAGACACCAAGAAACTTTGACACTGTCAGTAACACTGTGTAACTGAACTTTGCACAGCCACAGATATAGTCTATGAATCTGTCTAGGCATATGTCTCTAATCCCAACATTTAGAGGTGAGACAGGAGTACCATGAGTTCAAGGATAGCTTACGCTGTATAGCAAGTTCTAAGACAGACTGAGCTATACAGCAAGACCGTGTCAACAAATAAAAACTATTATCCAAATTGGTAGATAATGGGCATTTAAAATGGCTTATGTGGCCAAGAAAGTGTCCCCCCCCCCCCGTCTTAATCTAATAAAAATTAGTTTACATGTGGCTAGTGGCTACCATTTTGGACAGTACAGTTTCTATGAGCTACATGGGTAGCTCACTAAACATGGAAGGGCTACTGGAAACTGTAAGCCTAGTAATTTTATCTTAATACAGTTTCAAGTCATATGTGAGGATATTCATTCTAGTACTTACAAGCAACTTCACTGAAAAAACACTGTATAAAAGTTATCAGGCTGGGAGGTAGCTCAGTGGCAAAGCGCTTGCCTAGCAAGTACAACGTCCTGGGTTCAATCCCCAGTACCAAAAAAGAAAAGACAAAAAAAAATATAGTTAAAAGATATCAACATTCAATAAACTAATGTGTGCCAGGTGGTGGTGTTACACACCTGTAATCCTAGTTACTCAGGAAAAAGGCTGAGATCTGAACACAATTTGAAGACAACCTGGATAGGAAAGTCCAATAGACTCCACAGTTAAAATCTCTAGTTAACCACCAAAAGTCTGGAAGTAGAGCTGTGGCTCAAGGGGCAGTGTAACAGTCTTGAGCATAAAAGTTGAGAGGTAGCATCCAGGCCCAGAGTTCAAGCCCCAAGACCAACGCGCGTGCACGCGCACACACACACACAGAACTACTGTGCTATACTATATAGCTTCTAATTTTGTCCTCTTTTCTAATCAAGCAGAAAAAATTGCTTAAAAAACTCAGAACACAAAAATAGACATCAAGGGCCTATAAGATGCATTACCTATTTGTAATATGAATAAAAACATAACCGTAAAAAACAAGTGTCTTTGGCTCTTGGAAATGCAGAGCAATCTGGTCACTAAACAACTGTCCCACTTCTACTTAAGAAGCCTTCTCAAAGTAAGAAAGGTTGTTAAAGAAAGGTAACATTTTGAAAGTAAGCAAATGTAAATATACATATATCTGATATGGAATCAAATGAATCCCTATCTCTACATATAACTCAACCAAAACAGTCATTAATAAGTAACAAAACTTTCTTCTGTAGCCTTACCCACTTCCTTTCAACTGATATACTTTGAAGTAAATCCCACACAGCCCATCACATTTGGACATCACCATCGAAGGAATGTAAGCTCTTGGCTAACTTATTAAAGGAAAAAGTACTGATGTGTTTGGATTCTATCATTAGAGAATGCCAGTGTGGGAGAAGCAGGAGGAAAGCTGGAAGGAACAGAGGCCACAGAAGAGGCAACCCAGAGAGAGATCCTTGGAGACACGGTAAGCAGCTTCACATTCGTTGAAAGTAGGAAGGAGGACTTACAGATTTCAGAGGAAAAAAGTGAAAGAAAATGAAGTTGACTTGTGATACCACAGAAGCCCACTGCAGAAAGAGGGCAAAACTAGGAAAGAGGATATTGCAGCACTCCAGGAGTTAACATATTGGTTTAAACAAACATCTTTCCCAAGTGCTAAAAAGGGAATGCTCCACCCATTTCAGGAAAGGCTTCCCTGGTGAATATTTAACCATGGTTTACTTTTTGTTGTCAACATTGAATTTTTCCTTGGGACTTACACAACTGCTGCCTGTGATCTAACAAATCATTTTTTGTCTCATTTGCGAAATAAATAGCTACAAATATCAATATGATGACTCATACTTAAAATTTTTGATTAAATTTTAAGTTCCTTTAAATTACCACTAATATAAATTAAAAATGAGCAATTAGTAGGTCCAATGGGAAGTTCCTCCCCTTAGTTTAATAATGGGTAAGGTTTTTTTCTCAAGAAATACTGAAGGGTAAATGGAGCTATGGCTCAAAGTAGTAGAGTGCTAGCCTTGAGCAAAAGAGCTCAGAGACAGTGCTTAGGCCCCAAGTTCAAGCCCCACAATTGACAACAGACACACACACACACAGGAAACACTGAAGGATTTTAGTCCCTTTTCAGAAATAGGGAAGGCGAGAGAATGACAGAAAATAGTTAACAGTAAAAAGATAAGAAACTTTTTCCTTTTTCTTTTTTGGCTTGAACTCTGGGCCTGGGCACTGCCCCTTTGCTCTTCAGCTCAAGGCTAACTCTCTACCACTTATGCCACAGCTCCACTTCCAAGGTAAGAAACTTTTAAGAAGATTTCACAAAATTAAGAAAAAAAAATTTTACAAATATAAAATCCCAACTTACTTTTTTGGTTTTCTGGAAGTAGAGTTCAGGGAACGCATGTAGCCAGTAAGCCAATTGGGAGATGTAGAAAAACTTCATTTGAAATCTGTACAACACATGAAAGCAAAAAGTATCTTAAAACATATTTTTTTTAAAGAATACAGTAAATGAACACTGGAAATCAGGACACAGGCAATTATCTTTGTGTTATCATTTCAGACAACTCCTCAGCAGCCATGATCCTCTAGAGCCCTCGCAGAGCTCTGCCCATCAGTCACTTCGGCAAAACACCAGGCAGATAGTATCTGAAGGCAGTGGCTAATACCCATGCTGTCTGAGAGGAGCCAGAGCCTTTTATTTACAAGTGAATTAATACTAATTAATAAGTCATGGTAGTGACTAAAAATACAAGGAACTGATCAACCCACAGATTTGTAAGGTTTCATCAAAAAGCAAACAAGAAGGGGGAATAAAAAACCTGGCCAAATATCACAATAAAAATCATTATTTACAATTAATATAGGCCAGAAAGAAAAGGATTGGCACAAAGCAAAGGCTCATACATTAATTATCACTGGAATCTGAGACAATCCCAAAGTCAAATATCCTGTTTTCTTCTGTTGTAATTCTATGTGGTTGGAACATGGAAAAAACACTCAAATAAGACAAGAATAAGGCACAGGAGGATCTCCCATGAGATCAGTCTAGAACAATCGTCTCCTCCCTACATGATTTCCCAGTGATCTTTCTGATCCCACTTTTTCTTCCTTCTTTCCCCTCTTCCCCCGAAGTCTAAAGTAAAATACATAAAGCCCATTGAATAAACTTATTTCTGAGGGAAAAATAGTTCTACATAAAGTCTAATTTTTACAACCCCATTTTGTAAAAGCTCACTGAATTAATGTAGTTTTTTAAAGTCAGAAAATGATTCATTAGAGTGGATACTATTGCTGGACTTAAAGAGATGTACAGTCATATTATTCTTGTCTTCTTCAAGTCTTTTTCTCTAGTTCTTATATCACAATGTATTTACTGGGGATTGGAGATGGTATTTAGTGAGATGGTAGATGACAAGCACCTACAATCTACCTAACAAAGTAAAGGATATAAAATCAAAAGGAGAGTTCTCACTGCTATTAAGGCAGTCTTGGTAGAAATGGGCAATACAAGACTTAGATGAATGAAACAATCAGGACCTTAAGCGGAATCCACATAAAACATAAACCAGTATAAACAAATCAGCAACGAAAATTAATATAGAATTAGGGGTAGTAGACAGAGGAAGGTCTGAAGAATGACGAACTTATCTAAATATCTTCATAACCACTGAGCTCCTGAAAGCACCTGAAACCTTATAATACCTAAGTGCAAGAAGTGACATAGTTGAACCATTTAAAAAACAAGGACTGAGAAGAGATGTGGGGGAGAATGAAAAGCATGAAGAAGATGGAGCTATTAAGAGAAAAGATAAAGGTGAATAAAGAAAAAACAAGGCTTATCAAATTAAGGTAATTGTTAAAATCATTTGCCTTAAGCTAATAAATATGCTGAAAAGATAATCATTTAAAAAAAGCCCAAAATGACTTTTTCAAATGGCAATGAAATTGCCAAGACAGTTTCACCTATTTTATGTATTTGCCTGAATTTCTAATGGGAATAGTAATTATGAATCTGTTTGTGATATGATTAGTTTTTAATAAAGAAAAGGCCTCCTAAAAATGACTTACGTCATCAGGTTATGTGGGTAAGCCCTCCACAAGATAGTTGGATCTGAGATGTAATTTTCCTAAGAAAGAAGACATATGTTTACCTGTAAGTATCAAGCAAACATTTAGATCCTCAGATTACATTGAACCAAACATCACTTGACAGTCAACTTTTTCATTGTTTTTATTACCATTTTAATTGCTTATTTGAATTGGTTATGTATTTAAAAAAACAAACTTCCCCCACAACTAAATGACATATCTGTAACAAGGATATTGTCCTAAAGAACTGTATGACTTAAAAAAATGTATACAACAGATTGTAAATTGAAATTGACATACATCTAAAAGGATTATAAAAACAGCAAAGCAAAATGAAGTATACATTGAGACTGAAGAGTTGAGTTTTAATCTCATCTCCAACATTAAGTGGAAAATTCAGTTCACCTGTTATTCATCTTTAACAGGATGATTTAAAAAATTATGTGCAAGGCTGAGAAGGTGGCTCAGTGGTAGAGCGCTTGCCTTGCGTGCATGAGGCCCTGGGTTCGATTCCTCAACACCACATAAGCAAAAAGAAAAAAGCCGGAAGTGGCGCTGTGGC